CCAAATGATTAATTTAAATGTAAGTGCATAGTTGTTAAGGCGAGTTAATATAAAGTTGGACTTAAATTATAATTAGAAACTTTAATATTGTAATAATTGAAATTATAATTAAAAAAAATTTATGTATTTTTGGCACATAAGCATTCTATCTATAATCAATGTTGAGTCTTTCCTTAAGTCCTTTAGCCATCTTTTATAGATTTACTGTTTACTCAATAAAACCCAGTAATAGAGGATGAGTAAGCCATACAGGTAAAGTCAGCGCAGGCTGTGGTTAATGGCTTAAAGTGAGGATGGTGCTCTGTAAATTACGCTTTTCAATAACAGCATCCGCATTTACATAACTGCTATTATGACTCATCCATTTTGGATCCTCCAGTCCAATCCTTGCATGTACCTCAGCTTTTTTTTTCTTTTAAGAGTTAGAACTTTTCGAAAAATATGAGTTGCTCCAAAAACAAAAGAGGAAGTTTCTGTGTGTAACTTTTCCTGTCTACTGCGAGTCATGTAGCTCAGGTGAAGTTAAACAGTAACTCCAGTCAGATCAGATGAGAACAGTGGGTTCAGACGGGCTCACATTCCTCTTTGCTGAGTTTCAGTACTGTCAAACAAAATATGATGTCAACAGAGGAACTTCATAAGCCATTGGAATTTAAAGTTCCAGATAGAAACGCTATGTCCCAAACAGCCGTGACAAGCATTATGCATTGCTCACTTGGTTTCTTTATTCCTTTAACTTTGGTTTTATTCCTTTCTAGACCCCTCAAATGGGCTCCATGACCATGATGACCCAGCCCACCATGATGTACACTCAGCCTGTGATGCGGCCGGCCAATCCCTTCGGCCCAGTCTCAGGGGCACAGGTATGATCTCACACACAATGAGGTTACAAATCAATTGACCCTCAAACAATCCAATTTAGAAGTCTTAAGGTCTGGTCACATGTTTAGCAAATGTTCGCAGATGAAATCTAGTCATTTTTAATAATTTTGCATTGACCAACAGAGTCTCTGTGTGAGTTCTGAGTCTTTTTAGTTGGCGAAATTTTGCTAATGTGACCACATCTTAATCCAATCAAATTAGTCCTTTTCAGAGCACAGTAGCATCCATAGGTCTCCGCTTTTTGATAAATGTTTTTGCATTGATCCCGCCCCATGATTCTTCTTGTAATAGAGCCATCCGCTCAACCCTGACTGATCACACTCTATTCTAGAAGCGGCTCCATTCAAGAAGTGGCTCCATTCAGAATGCGCTCTAGTTTGTTCACCTTCATGTGCCATCGCAGCGCAATTCTGAATATGAAAGCTAGCATTGTGGCCGTCACACATCTCTGGGGATGGATATGTATTCCACACCGCACCAAATTCTCAGCTCGAAATACATATCGTGCCCCCCGCCACCCGCTTCATTTCTGCAGTAGTGTTAGCGCAGGAAATTGGTACCATCCCCGCAGCCTTGCAGAACGAGAAGGACTTTAGTGGCTCTCTTTTTCTTGAACCTCTCTGTTATTCTCTAGCCTGTCTGGCTCTGAATTGTCCTCTCGTGTGTGTGTGTGTCTTGAGTGTTTCCTAGCTGTCCTCGGACCCCTTCAATCTCTCTCGTTCTTTCTGAACTAGCTCTCTACAGCCTCTAGTCCTTCCAGTTCGAGTCCTCTCAGAGCTCCGGGACAGGACCCTTTTGCACAGCTGTCTCTGAAGGATTTCCTTTAGAGCGTCTTTAGGTACAGCATGTCTGCTGTGTGTGTGTGTGTGTGTGTGTGTGTGTGTGTGTGTGTGTGTGTGTGTGTGATTGATCGACAGGAGCTTCTTGCTTTATAACAGTGTTTGTGTTTCTATTGCAAAAACTCTTACCCCAGTTTTTCTCCATGTGCTGCAATACTAATGTTTTCTATATACAGCAGTATAATGTGATTTGTAACAATTCAGCTTCAGTAGAGCCAATCTCTTGAAGTTCATTACCCAATCATGCATGCTTTTGTTCTGTTTCCCTTATTATTTAAAGGGGTCATATCATGTGGAATCAAATCTTTTGAATTTACGATGTATTGGAAGTAGCAACAGATCTTTCTTCTGAATTATGACTTGCATCCGAGTGTTGTCGTGGATTATTGAAAAAAAATGTAGGGTTGGACTCTGGTTGATTGGATGGCAGCAGAACTGAATGTGAGCTTGTAATAGTCAGTTGTAGATATGGTAAATATTCATTTCATGCCATATTTTAAACTTCCTCCCAGTCCAAAAACTGTATTTATCGAAGCTAAGCAGCTAAAATGATTCGTTTCGAACTTCTACAACTTGGACCATCCAGTCACAGTGAAATATTAAGGAGAAAGCTGAGTATATGCTGTTATTCCACCAGAATACATCATAATGATAGAGGTTTTTAAAGTTTTAACTGTGTCTAGTTGTGAAGCACTGCCACTCCCTGAATTCTTCTGCAGAATTCGTTTTAAACCACAACAACAAGGACCCTGATCATTTTATTCGTCAAATCATTAAATGTGACATGTGCCACATGTCAGCATGGATTGTTTCATGAATCTGTCAGAATATGATGCAAAGAGGCTGATATCTGCTTCTCAATAATCAAAAAAGCTTTTGTAACAGTTATTACTATGCTAAGTTAGTAGGCTAAGCTTTTAGCTTGCTAACCAAAGGATATTACACAAAAAAGTAAAATGTCTCGGCCAGTATGATCGCTTTGGGGTCTTGCACGACACTGAGGACTCATTTCACACTTGAAGGGTAAATGTAAGTTTTGACATATGCGTTAAAAAGTTTCATCCTTGTCTAGTGTCTGCGCTAATACTCCCTCTAAATTATGAGAGCTAAAAATGTCTTTACACGTTTTTAAACTAGAGTATCTCTTAACTTCATAACGCAAGCGTCTAGTGTTGTTGTGGCCTCCAGTAGTTTGTTGCTCTTTTGTCTTCTCGGTTTCTTTTCCAACTGTGACTCAATGACCTATCTGTGAGCATCTGTGGTTTTAAAAAGTCTGTATAGTACACGTATTATTTCTAAGCATTAGTTTTCGTACAAATAAAACTTTGGGGAAAAAGTGACATGACCCCTTTAAGTTTGTTTTAATCCTTTTCGTAGTAGGTTATCCTGAGTTGCAGCTTCATAAACTCATCTCATCATTTATTGGCTGCTTTACTGGAAACATTTGCATATTCAGTTCATTTAGTGACATTACGTACAATTACGATGGTCAGTCAATCATCCAAAAAGACATTCAAACTTGCTGTCCTGGACTTGGTATAAAATGTCATAATGTGTACGTTCATCACAATGTGTCAAATATACAAAAATGTTCTAAAATGAAGCATGACTGTGTATCAGTAAATGTGCATTTCTCTGATTCCAGATGCAGTTCATGTAGGTGAAGGAGGGTCGACGCTTCCCAAGAATGAATTACACGGCAAATCTCAAACCTTTAATCTCTCTCCAGCTGGCTATTCGACTCTTCACGGAGAGTTCTGCCCCAGTACAAACCTGTGCAGGAATCAGCGGGAGGGGTGGGAGGGGCTT